CCTTACAACCTGTTTGGATACAATTCAAGAAGAAATGGAAATGGAATTCTATTTCCAATTCCTATTTTTATAGAATTCCATTTCCAATTTTAGTGTTTGGTATAATTCCTCCAACTCAAGAAATGAATTGCACTTTTAACAATAATTAATAATATAATATATTTATTTTATCTTGGGAAATGAAATATGAATGATAGAGAAAGAGAGTAGTGTGATAGTTGGTTAATAAAATAATAATAAATAGTGATGGGACCCACTAATTCCATCTTCATAAACACTCTGTTTGGGAAGAGGGGTAAATGGGAGGAGGGTGCAAATGTGAGGGGTAAATACAGTTTCCAACACATTTGCACCTGTTTGGTTAATTTGGAACAGTAGGGGGGTGCAAAACGGGAGTGCAAATTTACTGTTTCGGCTTACCCCCCAAATTGGGGTGCAAGGGAAGGAAGGAAGAGAGGGGGAGGGGGGAATTATGGAATTTTGTTTTTCTAATTGTGTTATATATAATTATATAATAATTAATATTATCAATTTCTTTTTTTTATAAATATCATTAATGTAAACATTATTCGGGGTTGACCATTTGACTCTAGAAACAAGTTTATTCGTCAAGTCAAATCTAAATCTCTTGGTTGAATCGAATTTGCATTGAAAATTAGAGATACGAGGTGTTTGTGGAAAAGATAGAGAGAAATTGTTTGGTTAACTCAGTTTATTTGACTAAATAGTTAAAACTTACAAATTCGAACGTGTTTGACTAAGTTTGACAATTTAAGATTAAACTAGACACGAAAACCCTATATAGGATGACCAGTTACAAGTTGAGCTTCGAGTTTTGAGATCGCTCGATCAATGATTATACAATTGTCATAATTAATTATTATTTGAGCATTATTACCCCCAGCAATTTGCACCCTCCTGCAATTTACCCCTCAACTTGCACCCTCCTGCAATTTGCACCCCCCTTGTTGCCAAACAGAGCGAAACACAATTCCTATCACTTTTGATAGGAATTGTAATTCCCAAAACTTAGCCCAAATGGAATTCATTTCTCAACCTTCTTATCCTTCCAAACATAAAATATGGAACTGGAATTGAAAATGGAATTCCAATTCCTGAGTTTTTTGTCTATCCAAACAGGCTGTATAGACGGTGTTGTTAGCATTCTAGCCGGATTCTGGCTGCATGATATATGTCTTGGCCAAAATTTTCGCATACATGAATGTGGGGATCAGCATTACGTAATCAAATCCTCAAATGGTGGCTTGAAATCAATGAACCGATCGATGAAGTCGGCAACAGCAAGAAAGATATAAGAAAGTCCAAGGACTAGTACCAGCATTAGTTCCTTCGTCTTCACCAACCAGGATTAACTAATGGTCCGCATGGATTGTGCGCAAACCAAAATTTCCTTAATGAATTGTGCCCTATCCATCATCACCCACTAAGAAATAGAAAGGATTTCAAATGATGATTTGGAGTTCTCACCAACCCTTGTCACTATGAAATTAGTAGTAGTGCATAAACAATTAGTTTCAAACAAAATTGGTTAGAAGGTCCGCTTACACATACATGTTTAGTTCAATAACTCGGATTATTGCGATCATAAGTTTGCAAAAACTCACCATACAGTATGTTTAAATCCACTATCAATATGAAGGTTTGTAAGAATTCAATATTACTGGACAAACGTCATCATCAATAGTCATAGTCGTTATTAGCCTCGTTTCATTCCGGAGATACTTCGGTTCGATCGTTATAGCCAGGTCGATTCATTCATATATGCATCTCAAGAACAAATTAAAGACGTATAGTAGGATATTGATTTCCCCATCACCTTCATCATTGTATAACGCTCGATCTGCACGTGGTACTTTATCGATCTATCGGAATGACGACGAGCGATATCCAACCATCCCTACCTTCACTTGAATTAACACGTACAACGAAAAGAATATGCTGAACTTCATCAGAAATAAACAAATTCCAAAGTCACACCCTCTCCACGACTACATATATTTGAAAAGAATCTTTGAGTAAGCCCTACATCTATCTAGTAACATAGCCTTATAGGATCCTAGAATTTCAACGATCGATCTCGACCTCTCATTATCTCATGGTTCTTACTTCAGAAGGAATAAACGGAATCATGGGAATCTAGAGAATTCAAGATGTCCCATATTTCATGGGCAACCATTCGTTCACCAAACGGACCTAACTTGTAGGAAAGATTTGTGTGGCGTTTAGCATGGCAAGTTAGGGAAGAAAGGAAAGATATTTAATTTGCCGTCCAATTTGCAAGGTCCTTTCTTTCGGATGCCACACCTGCCGGCCGGCCGGAAAAATAATATCCCGACCAACTGTTTTGACGACATCATAGATACTTTGCCCAAGTCTGACAACACCCTGGCCGATAGACATGTTGTAGCCTCATATTTCGACCAAACTTCTTCCAACATTAATTGGGCCCCGAATTCTCGTACTTAAATTAATAGTTGTTTGTAAACCAAAACTGTACCAGTTCATCGAAAGAGGATTGCAAATTATACAAAGAAAACAAAACTGCAGTCGATCGGGAGAGATTCAATGGTCATTAGCTCGTGTGACACAATGTTACGGAAATAAGCATATTACTTGACAAAAACAACAGAAACTGAGGATATCTAACCTAACTTGTCCACCAATTATCGATCTAAGCCAACTAGCTATTGTAATCCTCCTATAAGACTGTTCAATATGCAAAAGAACTCAAATTAGTGGCCAATCCATTATCATGCATGGAACTAGCTAGCCATCTGTTTTCAGTTGTTCATCTGACCATATTATTACTATGTGAAATGAACACATAAAATTAGTTGATTACATATTCTGTCATAAACCATTTGGTCCCAATAATAACTGGAGTTGTTGGGAGAAGATTATGTTGGATCCCCCTCAAACGAAAACTAACTCATGGGCTTGAAGTTTGCACAGGCTCGTCATACCATGTGCTTGAAAGACTACGGTTAATATTGTGGGGGGGGGGGGGGGGGGCGTGAGGACTTGAACACGTGACCTCAAGGACAAACCAGCTCTGATATCATGTCATAAACCAGTTGGTCCCAATAACTCGAGTTGTTGGGAGAAGGTTATGTTGGATCTTATACAGACCCATGTATGATAGTTAATCACTTCCTTACATATTCATTTGAATTACGTATTCATGTTCTCATTATATTATTACCGAACGTGTTAAATAAGTATGTTACTAGTTTGGGACATTGAAAACATCTTTCGGGGGTTTAGACTATGATCGAAATTTCTTGTCACACAAATTAGCTTATATTTAAACGAATTTATTTTTATATTTCAATGTAAGTTCATCAATTGATAATTTTATTTTTCATTCAATCCCATCCATCAATCACAGGATTATGAAGTCAGATATTTTAATTATAGAGAATAAAATGATGAGTGAGTCATATGGTTAGTAGCTCGAGTGGGTATTGGGTTGGTTAATACGTAGAAGGATACGCCTAGCCACTGATCAAATACTTACACGTCTTCTCGTTTGATACGTCTACTCGTGTGGGCTATAGGCTTGCTTTGCCCAAGAACTAGACAATAAGTAAAAGGCAACCCTGGCTCTTCTAGAAAAAAAAAAGTTCAATAGCAAAAAGCCTTCATCAGCTTTCTTTTGTGGAATTTTTTTCATGTTCCCATTAGTTTTCTAAATTGTAAATTAAACTATTTTCCAAAGTGCATTGAGATTAGAAAAGTAGGGGGAAAAAACAATTGATAATCTATACAAAAACTCTTGTTAATCGATTTATGAGATATTTAATCGACGAGCATATCAATGACATGCTAGATACATCATTCAGCAGTTTTACCATTAAAAAGAAAAAGAAAGCGTTGAACAAAATAACTCGAGCTGGTCCTAACTAATATGAATCCCCTTCGTATGAAGAGTTCCAAAATGACTTGAGCTGGGTCGTCTAATAGGATTAAGAACTTAAAGACAACGCTAAGCTAATAAGGTTAACCAAAATCATTGACAATAAAAGCTAAACAGCAACTAATAAACTATATATAATTACATATACAACATTCGCTTACGCAAGAAAGATACAGAAAAGCCTTCTCCCAACTCCCACTAATTAACCCCCACCCACCCATCTTAATCTAATCACAGTAATTACTCATTCCATCCCCACATAATGACAGTTTAACCATATCATTATCACCGCACACCGTTTTCATTAATTAACCCTTCCCAAATATAAAAAACATCAATCCAGTAAAAAAGAATTTAAAGAAACAATATAAAAAAAGGTTCCATTAAATACCATAGTTCCAAATTCCAATACATGTAACATACCCCACTTATACTAATTAGTACACTGAACACAAGGAGGGAAGGGAAAGGGCATTCATGGTATAACAGTATAACCACCACATCATTGACATGTGCCACATCTATTCATCACACAAACACTTGGGAATTTATTTAATGGATTGCAAATTATTCAAAAAAAAAAAAAAACCAAATTCAATTACTTCTCTTCATCAACTTGGGATTTCTTTTTAAATTTTTATAAATAAATATAAATCATATTAATAAAAAAAATGTTCTAGAGAGAGAAAACAGGAGAGAGAGGGGGTAGGTGTGAGATTTTTGACCGGCCGAACCGAACCAACCCCTCAAAACTCCCACGCAAGCAGCAGCAGCCAGGCAGCTACGCACAGTCGCACACCCTTTCCTTCTTTCTCCCCGCTTTTTCCTCTTACCCTTCCTTTCCCATCCACCATATAAATACCCCTCCTCCCCCTTCCTTTTTCCCTCAGCTTGGCGTTCCCTTCCGCAGAGAACAACAAGCTGAGCAATCAATAACACAGAAAAAAAACGAGAAGAAAATTTTCTTACAGTTTCCGATCTCTACCATAGCAATTAGCATCTCTTCCGCTTTTTTCTCTTCTTCCATTTTCCGATTCCGGTAGCGAAACCAATTGTCACAGATATGCAGGCTCTATCACCACCTCCGTCGTCGTCGTCGCTCAGCTCCTCGATAGTGGGGACCAGCCGCCGCCGCCGTCCCCCCACCGGCCCACTCGTCGTCCACTGCATCCACCGCTCCTACGACTCCGTCAACTTCCCCGCAGGCGTCGTCTCCAGCAGATCTGACTGGCAGAGCTCCTGCGCTATCCTCTCCAGCAAAGTCGTTGGTCAGGAGCAGCCTCCTGAAAGTAGATCTGGAGGAGATAATGGACCTACTGCTGCTGCGGCTGATTCCATTGCCTCCGTCAACGGTCACAAGACTATTGACCTGGATTTGGTCCCAATCGACAAGGCTGCGGCCGACGGTACGGCCACCGTCGGCGGCGGAGGCAGCAACAACGGCAACAGGCCGTTGCCGTTGCAGAAGCCGCTGACTATCACCGACCTGGCTCCAGCTCCGATGCACGGCTCGCAGCTCCGAGTCGCGTACCAGGGAGTCCCCGGCGCGTACTCCGAGGCGGCGGCAGGTAAGGCTTATCCTAAATGTGAGGCGATTCCGTGCGACCAATTCGAGGTCGCTTTCCAGGCGGTGGAGCTCTGGATCGCGGATCGAGCGGTTCTGCCGGTGGAGAACTCGCTGGGCGGGTCGATTCACAGGAACTACGACTTGCTCCTCCGCCACCGCCTTCATATTGTCGGGGAGGTCCAGCTGCCGGTCCACCACTGCCTGATGGCGCTGCCGGGGGTGCGGAAGGAGTACATCACGCGCGTGATCTCGCACCCGCAGGCGCTGGCCCAATGCGAGCACACGCTCACCAAGCTGGGGCTGCAGGCGGCGCGTGAGGCCGTGGACGACACGGCGGGGGCGGCGGAGTACATTGCGGCGAACAATCTAAGGGATACGGCGGCGATCGCGAGCGCACGCGCGGCGGAGCTGTACGGGATGCAGATCCTGGCGGACGGGATCCAGGACGACTGCGGGAACGTGACGCGCTTCGTGATGCTGGCGCGTGAGCCGATCATCCCGAGGACTGACCGGCCGTTCAAGACGAGCATCGTCTTCGCCCACGACAAAGGGACGAGCGTGCTGTTCAAGGTGCTGTCGGCGTTCGCCTTCCGGAACATCAACCTGACCAAAATCGAGTCGCGACCGCACCGGAACCGGCCGATCCGGCTGGTGGACGACGCCAACGTCGGGACGGCGAAGCACTTCGAGTACCTGTTCTACGTGGATTTCGAGGCGTCGATGGCGGAGGTGAGGGCGCAGAACGCGCTGGCGGAGGTGCAGGAGTTCGCGTCCTTCTTGCGGGTGTTGGGTAGCTATCCGATGGACATGACCCCATGGTCCCCTTCCGGTGGAGATTAATTAGCCGCTTAAACCAAGAACCAAAAACCCGCCAAAAAAATAGACAACAAAGAATTTGCTGAAAAGTCCCTGGATTAAGTGTTATTTATTTGCACATAAAAGGGAAATTCAATTTAATTTGGAAATTTCCCTTATTTCTCTATTTCTTTTTCTACTTTTTAGTGATGATGGGTGGAGTTTTGGATCCATCAAATGGGTTTAAAATTTGGGGGATGGGGATGGGAAGAAGGAAAAATGTTGAGGGATGTTGATGTGATAATGATTTGCTTGGTTGTTGTTGAAGTTGTTGAGGGTAAATATCGTGTTTAATCACTATTTTAACTTACTATTACGATTTAGCAGATGATTAATTTGGAGTTTACGTGTAGGTAAACAGTAGAGTGTAAAAGAGAGTGTTTGTTGGTTGGTCGTGGACGGGAAGGCAGCCGGGAAAGCAGAGGGAAGACGTTAAAATTGACCCAATCTTCACTCTGGCTTTACTTTTTGTTTATTGTGAAGGTGTTAGGTGAAGGATGTGTATCTATTTTCTTGGATTTGGTCTGTACAAATATTTAATAATAGCTCGTCGACACTGGAATTAGGAATTGATGCTTCTACTTCACCACTTAAGGTAAAAAGAAAATGGAATGTCTATAATCTACCACAAAAATGTGTTGTTTTCAAGGAGAACACGTAGAACAAACTAATGTCACAAGAAGAAAGACAAAAATAGAGCTTGTTTGGTGTTTTCACTCATTTGCCAAAGTACTCATGTGCAAAAGCAATAATTCGGTGAATAGAAGAACCAATGTACTTTTTTAGTTTGGTATTATCATGTGAGAGTTGTATCCTTGAATTGTTTAGTTGATAATTTTTTTTTTAATAAAGCTCACATAGATGAACTTTTAATATTAGGTGTTGGATTCAAATCCGGTACCTCAAAATTGAATACTAGTTATAGATTCATTAGATCAAATCCTTATTCGTTGTTTGGTTTTTGACTTAAAAGTTGTTGTCAATACTGATTGAATCAGTTGGTTGCGGAGTACTAGTTTGAATTTGGAAATTCTTATTTCAATGCTCGTGACGCTCTTATAGTTGAGATACTCATAAGACAAAAAAAAAAAATATTAGAGTGTTGGGATAAAAATCGTAACACTTTAGGCGAATCTCACATCGACAGTACGGGAGAGATCCATGGTTCATACGTCGATTTTAACTGACAAGATACGTTTTGAGGTGAAATGAAGGAGCTCTTTTAAGAATTGTGAAGTTAAACATGTTCATTATGTAGCACTGCAAGGATGGATGATCTCATGAGAAATCACCTTGATATGCATTTCAAGGCAAAATTCACGAGGGTCTGCTCAAAGCAGACATTATCTTGTAGGGGAAATGTTCGGATGTTAAAAAAATGAAAAAGGGCTGGATTCGTGCGTATATATACTTGGTAATTATTTTCACACAAAATAATAAAACATATATTATATATATATGCTAATTGGAATGAGATATTTGTTTTCTTGTTTCCCCTGTTTTGATTGAGGTTTTGTTTTCTTGTTATCCCCTGATTTGTTTGAGGCGTGCCGTGGTGGTGGTTAGGTGGGGAAAGAGCGGTAGGAGAGGGAGATTCCATTCGGACATTCCGGATCTCACTCTTCCTCCAACGAGGAAGAATCCTCCGAGTTTGAGTGCCGGTTGGGTGAAGCTGAGTTTAAGGCCACTTTACTACATACAAAGCACATTTCTGAGTGCCACTTTCACCTTGAAAACATTTTCTTAATAAAGAGGTCGAAATTCGATAGAATTTATCGATTGTGACGATGTTGGAAGAAGTTCAAGAGAATGAAATCAAGTGACACATATGAAAGTATCGATACCTTGTCATTTGTTCTTATTTCTCAAATTTATCACGCATTTTGTATGTACTTTTATCTCTAGGTTGAAAATTTAAAGAAAGCCTTAACCTTCCATTTTCATAACCTAACTCATTCACTACACCTTGATACAAGTGGGTTTACTTTATCAATTCAAGCCTTTGCAAAGTGACGAGAGAGAAGTCATATGTATCCTAATGAACCTTAATTACTTTACACCAATATATTCGGGAGGCCTTTTCTCATTCATTCAAAGTACATATGAGTACACTGGTTGAAATTGGGGTCTCGTCCTTCTTATCAACTCCTCGAATCTTCATCAAAGGATCGTGCCTCTTCCAATGGCTCCTTTTTTGACGATTGTTACATTTTCCCCTAATCACACTACAACAATTTCGATCGGATTTGAATTGTATGCTATGTACATTAGAAGATTTCTTGTTGCAGTTTTCCCTAATACTTAGAGGGTTAAAACGGAGGCTTATTACTCTCTAATGTCAGAGCTAGTCATAGTAGTAGTACCCAAAATTACTTGATATATTGTTTGCAACTCCATTTTTTTCATAAGAATGTGTCTATTTTACCCAAATGGATTAATGGACCATACACTTAATGGTATCGATTTAGAACAAAAATGAGAATAACAATATTCCATTTCGAGAAAAAAAATACCGGCTGGAGTTCACTCACCAGTCACCAACAAGCTACCAAGCTCACCAACTACGAGAAGTTGCTAATTTCTGACCTGTTCCTCATTTGACATTTCATGGAATTGGTAATAAATGAAACTAATAATCAAATTGCGTCACTTAATTTCCCCTCACTTTAATAAATCTTTTTCACCAACCACCCTTTTTCAGTGAGAAGAAGTATCAGTGTGATTCGTTGGGTCTCAAATCCCAACGTCACCAGTAATCAATCAAGATCGAGTCATTAATCAGCGAGCCAGGAGGAAGCAGGTTGATTAATTAATACCCACTGATAATGCAAGTGGAAGTATCGATTCGACGTTCGACAATCTACACCATATCTTATATACCAACACATTCGTTCTGTCGAATACCGTCTCTCTTCTTCTATACCTCCGCGCATGATAATTTGTTTTTTTTACCGACCACGCCACGGAGGGTGGCGGTGGAGGTTGATGCATTGGATGATGACATTCATTTGATGAGATCATTGATGACATTAGCACGTAATGATTGTTAATGTTGATTGATTAACAGCCCTAAATATAATGAGGGGATCCATCATCCATCCACTAAAATAAACAAATGGAATTGGGGCGGCAAAATTGTGGGGTTGGGGGGACCTTTAAAGTTAGACGACGTTGGAGGTTGTCTTGTAGGGTTGGTGGGAAAGTGCAAACAACTGGAAGAAGGAGAAATGAGAGTTTGTGCAGTAGACAAATTGTAGTACTGTAGTTTAGTGTCAGCCGGTGTGGCCATTGGTGCGGGCGTGGTAGGTGAAGTTGAAGTTTATGGTCCTATCTGATCAGCTATCATTACGTAGTTTGCTTTTTCATGAGTCTTTTTGCAACTTGGATGTGTCCATTTGTGCAATGCTCAATGAATGGAGTTGGTTTGATTTGAAAAATGAAAGATTTTAGTTAAATGGTTGGATTTAGAAAATAAAAGGGTTGGTGATTGATTAAAAGGTTATTACGAGTTGGAAATTTTTATTGTATTCTGTTGAACTGGATTTATGTGCTTGAAAATGAGTGCACCTTGTTAATCCTAAAGGCTAGAAGTAGTGATTTATGTGACTTTTTTTTTTAAAATCATTGAGGTCAAGGGATTCAGAACCGAAAAGAAATTGCATTTTTTTTTGGAGCCATGAATTGAACATAAATATTTTGGAAGCAAACAAACAATGGATACGATTGGATATAATCAAATCCTTGATAAGTAGGGTTTGAGTCCAAAATTCAACAACCAAATGACCTGGTTCACGTGAGTTGAGCATCTTAATTACCTCCACAATGAACTTATTTAGCGTACTCCTCATTGAGTTTTGCTATATAGATCATGAATTAATCGGAGTTTGGGGCATGATAATATACCCTAACCTCGAATGGGTGAACTCCAGTCCCTAATTTTCTAACCCAAACTATGAGATTCGTTTAATCTTAAAATGAAAACCAGTGAAAATTTCGACGAATCAGAATCGTTGATTTTCATTTTTAAGATTAAACGAATCACATGTTTTGGGTTATTGAATTAGGGACTGGGATTCACCCATTAGGGGGTTAGAGTATAGTATCATGTCCCAAACTCCGATTAATTCTTTGTCTAAATAGCAAAACTCAATAGGGCGTACGGTAGGCTAGCGTACGCGCGGACGTACTTTCCCAACCTATATAACAATATAAGGTATTGGGTTTGTAATTGTATTTAGGCTAATTGTGAATGCCAACATTTTTTTCCCGATTACAACTCATATAATCGAGACTGCCTTTTATAAAATGTGCAAAATTCATGAAAATAAGACCGTGATTTTGTGACCCTGTCAACAGATACCTGGCCCTCCTTAAATTTGAATTGTGAAGCTTGAATCAAAGTTATGTAAAGAGTATATATCTTGTCACTTAAGTCACACTTAATGATTGGATATGGGGAGGTTGGAGTGGAGTGGATTTTGAAAGAGGGCATATAACATGCATTGATATACAAAAACAAAAGGATATTAATATCAATAGGTGGCCATTAGCCCAATAAGTTTAGGGTAATGTGTACTTAAAAAAGGGGGTTTTGGTTGAGATCTCAAATCTGATCCCTATTTAGCTATATATATGCCAAACTTTCTCAGCCTATTGAACTAGGAGTTGGTGAGATATATGTGTACTTAGCTTAATTATTGATTGGTTGGATCTCTAATCGTCATTAGTCTTTCTATAGGATTATTTATCTATCAATACTCAGTTTAGTGTCCCTTAATCACAATCCTGCCCGCAGCCTGCTGCATGTGCCAAATTTAATTGTGAAACAAATAATGTGTAATTATAAACAGTTCCAAAAAGATTCCTCTCATGTTTCATGCTCAGGATGGTCCTATCAATATTTAGGCACTAATTAATTTTTATTAGTTGTCAATGATACTTCTTTTCTATAGATTACAAGTGAACTTCTGAATTCATATTTTCCA